AAATGTGTGAGCACCCTAGTATACATAGGTGGCACATAAATGCCAAGTTGGGGAGACCCAAGGGTGAGAGGTTCATTGAGGGCCTACATAAAAGAGTAAGGACCTTCTGTATTGGGTGTTGGACGATTGAGAGAAGAAATAATTGATGTATTAATCGAGTGCTATTTAGTATTGAGATTAATACAAGACGTAACCCGGAGGTGAACCACTTAAATTTGTGAGTCCTATTCACTTCATTTCGTATCCAAAGCCCACCTATGGTTCATCATTTAATTTGTTAACCTGCAGATTTTGCGCGTTAACACCTCCTTCTCCCAAGACCAATCGCAGTTGATATTCAGCACGAGTTATGTGCTTCTTGTAGTGTTTTTCTAGAATTTACTTTCATTTTTACTAAATATTGGTTTCAAAAATATTTTCACAAGGGCTTTCAGTCATTTTAAAGACACTTTCAAACAACTCCTAATTCTTTACATTGGAGTATAAGATTCGGAGAAAAATACCACAAAGCAGAAAGCATCGCCCCTTTTAAACTCTTGTATAATAACATAGATCTAACAATATAAGTCTTGCACCGGAAATGCTCTGAACATGTACCAAAGTAAGGCTTTGATGGATCTAAATTTTGTTAAGAAAATCCATAATCATACTAAAGAGAACAGAAAACTGAGCTTCTTATATTCGATGAATTAACCTTTTTCATACAATCTAAATTATTCTAACAAGGCAACTTTGCAAATATTAATACATAAAATTGAGCTTGATTCAGCTAAGTGAAAACATATGATAACAGTCAACCAAAAAAACATATGATACCAGTGATTTAATGAGAAAGCAGGCACCTTAATCAGATTGTTTGGCAATTGATCTTCTATTGCAAGAACAATTGTGTGATTAAACTTTAATCGCTACCCCTTCAACAATCTCGGAAAATCCCTTAATTTCACAGCGCAGCTAGCGGAGCTACTTGCCCAAACTTCCTTTTCAAGTCTCTGACTCTTCCGTGCACAAGGGCGTTTTGAAGTTCAAACATCCGCCAAACCCAACAAGGACGCCCCTTGCTGATCCTTAACCTGTATCACTGAATGCAAACTTGAACCCTCGGGAATTCCCAATGGAGGACCTAAACATGAAGCATTATTAACCGTATACAGCTCCCACTCTTTAATTCCACACTTCTCTAGAGCAGAAATTAACCTCGTCCTATGCACATCATTTGGGTATGCCCCATCCGGACTGACAAGCACAGCACCGGTATAACATTGTCCTGCAGCTCGAGCAGCACCGCTATAATAAAACAAACCCCAACTAAGATCATCAGCAACATCCACAATTGTCCAAAACTCATTCGATACAACCCCATTGTCCAAGACACTAAAGTTGAATGTCCCCGGTATTTTGCTTCTCTTGACTCGATACTTCCGCCTCCTCCAGACCATCTTCCCCTCCAATGTTTGTACCTGAAAAACTGGTTCGTACCAAAATGACCCTCTGGCCTTCCCCCTATAAAAGAGCTGGTACTGACAGGGAAATTGATCATAAGCAGGGTTCTGCCCTGCCACAACACGCCAACTCCAATTCAAACTCCCCAACCAACCAACGAAAAGATCTTCAGCAGTTTCGTGGCACAAGTCCTTCCCTTGAAATTTAACCATGGGTCGCACATACGGTTTGTCAGGGATCTTTGCATCCAATCCAAGACAATTATGTTTCTGCAACACGCACAGAGAAAATGCTTCTAGATTTGGACTCTCATACGAAGCAATGCACCGATAGTTACACACTTGATCTACTGGGCTGCACCGATTCAAGCATTGAAGTGCTTTCCGACAATTTGGATCCAAGAGGCAGTTTAGTACCTGAGGCCCGCAGTTCCTCACCATGCAGCTCAGTGTAGAAAGACCTCTTGATCTTAGATTCTTCAGGATTGGGACTGGTCTTATGTAAGTGTTAATTATAACCAATAAACAAAACCTTATATCATCCGTATTATGCCGATCCCAAGCCTGTGATACAGTCTGGATCACTTCCTCTGATCCACTGTTCATTAATTTTTGTGAAGTGTCAAAGCTTTTGCCTAATATATTTCCCTTGGTTTCACTACGAATATCATATCCTCCTAATCTGTTTGCTAAATTGGGAGATGAGTCAAAGCAGATTATGTTTCGAATATTCTGACTATTAGTTTGAATCCATTTAACTGATTCTTGATTCGTAACAGAAACAATCACCAAAATATCTGCACGTTGAAACTCTCTGTGGAAATTTACGGCAATTTGATTATCAGATTGGCAGATGTCATCGGTAAAAACAAGCATTTCATATGCTTCGTCTACCCATTTCAGTCTTTTCGCCTGTTTACAGGGAAAGTATCAGGCAACAAGCAATACAAGCGTAGAGCCAAAAACCAAGCACAACAACATACTCCACAAATCTAACTTGATCTAAACCGCCTTTTCAATGGTAACTGACTAACAGAGATATAACTAGAATGTGGCATCCTCTAAAGTGTCAATGACGGAGGCACCTTCTATCCAAGGTCTTAGTACGAGAAATTTTCATTGTCCGGAACACAGGCCAGTACACCACATGTCATTATATAATTAGAGTAAAGTTTTTTTCTAGTGTCCCTCCAATTGTATAATAACATATGTCATATCGCTCCATGTTTCTCAGCAACTAAACATTAATATGGGGGAGGGGAAGGGTTTGAACCCGAAACGGGGTGCAGTTTGAAGAGGAATGTCCTATCTATCGTGACAATCCACCACTTATAAAAAAGTAGTAATATTTCATCATAACTGACAACTCTATTTTATTACTTGTTAGAAATTCGAGCAATTTGTTGAAAAGAAATTATAAAAACAAATAATAAATTAAGAATCTGTTTGATTAAATGTTGTCCTTGGATTTATAAAGAAAAGTAAAGGAGAGCAAAATTGAGAGTGATTACTTACAGTGTGGAGCATGACCTCTTCCCAAGGTGTGGACTTGAGAGGGCTGAGGGTGCCTTGGCCGACAACTGCTACTATTCTCACCGGCGTTGTCTCCTCCGCCGTCACCACCGCGCTCGAATTCACTTCCTTAACCGCCAAAACCGGGGGTGGCGCACGGTAAATTGTTTTTCCAACGGCAAACCGGGAACATGGAAAATGAAGAAAACCGGCTGCTGCGGAAGCTGCGAACCGCCGGTTCAATGAAACTGCGGTTCTGGGTTTGAAAAGCGGTCGAACTGCAGCTGCTTCCAGAGCCATAGTCATGATGTCACAGCTCACCTGGCCAATCTCCGTCTCTCTCTTCTGTCTGAGGTGGTTTCCATGGAGAAACAGAGTGAGGTACAAGTAAAATTTGGGAGAGAAGATCGGGGAGAGAGAGTAAAGCGGGGAGGGGGGAGGGAAGAGAGCGACTGGTTTTCTGGAGTTAATTTGGCCACGTGTTGCCACTTATTTATTTTTTATTATTATAAACCAATACTATTATTATTTTTAATTGTATACTAAGGCCTGATTTAGAGATGATTCTGAAAAAAGCTAGGAACTGTTTTTGTATTTGGTAAACATTCAGCTTCAGTTTTTTTCCACAATTTTGGATGAGAAAAGCCAAAAACAAGAAGCTGCAAAACCCAACTTGAAAAAACCGTTTTTTTTACATCTGTTTTACATAAAAGTTTACTAAACACTCTGATGTTTTATTTCACAGCTGCTTATTCTCACAACACAGCAGAAGCAGCTTTTTTTCAAAGCACATCAATACCAAACCAACCCTAAATCTTTTGCAATTATTTTTTTGACAAACTAATAAACTAAATATATTTAAATATAATGAGAGTTAAAATGAATGCTGAATACAAAATTTTAGAATCAGTGATAAATATTTTAAATTAACTGATATACAAGTCGCTTACTAAATTGTGAGGATCTTATTCATCCAGCCTTAATAATATATTTTTATTTACTTATAAGTGACATACTGAAAAATTTTAAATTTGAATGGATCTAGATGCTCTCATCTTTCATTTTACCTTTCTTTCTCTCTCATGATATTTGAACGCATAAGATTATGTTACGTCAATATCTTGTGCTGACAATTTTTTTTATAAGAGGAGAAAGAATAAAAAATGTGTGAGAGGAGAAGATAAGAGAAGCAGTGTTCTAAACCTAGGTGCTTAACGGCTGGTTGCCGTTTTCTATTAAGGGCTAATCGGTAGAAAAATCGGATCACCCACTAGCTGGTGTTAGGCGGGACGCTAGGCGGGGTAAGGCTAGGCGAGGGCTAGGCGGGACAAGGCAACGTTGGGAGGCAGTAGATCAACTAAGGTTTTGGAGTTGCACCATTTCATCTTCTCTGCCATCTGGGTAAAAAAAGGTTGCGCAGGTCGAGAAGAGAAGAAAAAGATGATGAATGGTAACCTTTTAAAATAACCTAAGGTTAAACGACATCATTGGTTTGTGTTTCTTAAGTGAGAATTTAATGGGCTTCCGCACACTTTAATGGGCTTGTCCACCCAAATAGTAAAGTCCAAAATAAAGCTAGCCAATCTGTTAATGAGAGTTGTCAATTAATTGTTTATTATACTACCTATTAATTAAATCCGCCTAGCTGCATCGGCGCTAGGCCTCAATCCACCGTCCGACTAGTACTTAGATTTTTTAAGAACCTTGGAGAGAAGACGAGGAAGAGCTGGGAATTAAAGGAAAGAGAATCCGACCTCGGTTAAATATAGGAGTGTGATATCCACACATCCCGTTTTACTTCTCACACACCTTTTCAATTTTTGGCCGTCGGATCGGATGAATTAAAGAATATCAATGGACATAAATTATCAAAAGGTGTGTAAGAAATAAAATAAGATGTGTAGATAGCACATCCCTAAATATATTGTGAGTCGCAAGTTGAATACAATTTTTTCGATTTTCATATTTAGCTTTGATAACAGCCATAAGATAGCCAATCAACGGCTGAGATGAACATAATATATGTCCGCGATGCTGGTCTCTTGCTCACTGGTTCAACAGAAGGCTTAAACCCTGCCCGAGGACAACTGCCGTAGTTATAAAGCAAGTATAAACCCTAAACCCTAATTGCAGAGAGAGAGAAAATGAGGAAGAAGGTGGACGAACGCATCCGGACCCTAATCAGCAATGGCGTCAAAAACCGGCACCGCTCCATGTTCGTCATCGTCGGCGACAAGTCCCGTGACCAGGTACTCCTAACTTCTTCTATTCCCTATCTGCTATTCCTATTGGATGAGGAGTGAGGAGTTTCGCAATGAATTGAATTGGGCAGAAAATTGTACCAATTTTACAGTTTTTTGTTTTGTTTTTTTCAGCTGCAAATTCTACTCACTGAGTAATACTAAAAACCTCAAACAAAGAAATTTTATCGAAATTTAACCGAAAACTAGTTCTGACGAAATTGGCTACATTTTATTGAAATTTATATGGTCTTCAGATAGTGAATCTTCATTATATGCTAAGCAATGAAGTAAAAAAATCGCGTCCGACTGTCTTGTGGTGCTACAAGGACAAGCTTGAGCTCAGCAGGTTGGTTTATTTTATCTTCCTTTCTTTCTTTACCTTGTTATAACACGGAATTTTGTTTAAAAAGTATTGATTCGTTTCGTTGACTGTTTGATTGATGCAGTCACAAGAAAAAACGTGCTAAGCAGGTAAAAAAGATGATGCAGAGGGGACTGCTTGATCCCGAGAAGGTTGATCCTTTCTCACTTTTTGTTGAAAGTGGGGGATTGACTTATTGCTTGTACAAGGATTCAGAAAGAATTCTTGGTAATACCTTTGGAATGTGTATACTTCAGGTAACTTAAAACTTATACCAACTTTTCTGGTTTAGCCGACGACTCCCTTTTTATAATTAATTAGAGTTTCAAGACAAAGTTTGATCTTTTTTCTGCTGCGTTAAGGATTTTGAGGCCTTGACTCCAAATCTACTAGCAAGAACGATAGAGACAGTTGAGGGAGGTGGACTAGTCATATTGTTGCTTCGTTCTCTAACCTCACTCACCAACCTCTACACCATGGTTATGGTATGCATATAATAATATATCTTTCTCTTACGCATGCACATTAATAATGCTTAGTTTTTAGGCCGGCATGGTTATGCTTATTATATGATTCTAAATCTGGAAAACTAGCCGTGTTAAAGTTTCCCAGTTTATTTGTAATGATTTGCTTGGCTACAAGAAAACTTTTTGTTTATTGAATTGCTTGACTTTCTTTAAGAGAATGCTGCTAGACATATACGTTTCCCAGTTCGACCTAAGTAGGTTAGTTGTTTCTTTTCATATTCTACTGCAAAAAAGAAGAGGAAAACAACTAGGATTTCCTCATAATATTGTTTTACTTGTTGAAGTAGATTTGAGTTGTACTGCATTATGTACTTTGAACAAATATAGCAATAGCCATGCACCACATACTATATTTGATAGCAATTCTTTCATGTCATGTTTTATTTGCAACACTGTTTTTTCGTTCTCTCTGTATACTAGTCTTATCACTGCCTCTTGATTTCAGGATGTTCACGATAGGTTTCGAACTGAATCCCATGCTAAGGCTACTGGGCGTTTTAACGAGCGTTTCTTATTATCGCTTGCATCATGCAAATCATGTGTAGTCATGGATGATGAGCTGAATATTTTACCAATTTCATCTCATATGAGGTCAATTACCCCGGTTCCAGTTAAAGAGGTAATCTTTTGGCATCTTAAATTGAAGGAACTGATAAACCGAGGCATGCTTTATTTTCCTAGTATCTTATGCCAGGTTGAAAAAAGAATAAAAATAGTTTTGTCAGTATATGTTTAAGCTCAATGGTTATTAGGATAGTTTTTAGGAGTTCATGATACCATTGTTCAATACCTTATAAGAAAAATACTATTGGTGAATGAAGCTTTGACAACTTTTTTCTTGTCTTCTGATCATGATTGAAGGACTCTGAAGGGATATCAGAGGCACAAAGGGAATTGAAGGATTTAAAAGAGCAACTGAGTGATGCCTTTCCAGTTGGCCCTTTAATAAAGAAATGTTGTACGTTGGACCAGGTAGGTTCTTCTCTCTGATTTGTATTAGTTTTTAAGTCTCTATCATGTGTACTAATATGACTCAAAGTTTGAGTTGGCAAATGTTTCAACAGGGAAATGCTGTTGCTACATTTCTTGATGCAATCTTGGACAAGACACTCCGAAGTACTGTTGCCTTGCTTGCTGCTCGAGGCCGTGGAAAATCGGCTGCACTTGGTTTGGCAATTTCAGGAGCTATTGCTGCAGGGTAGTATGCCTTTTACAATGTATTAAAACTGTTTGTGTGTGTGTAGATGTCATTTAAAACTGTTTTTGTGTATGCGTAGATGTTTACACTCATATTAATGTACTATGTTTTGACAATACAAATATATCTTCACAGGTATTCAAATATCTTTGTAACTGCACCCAGCCCTGAGAACTTAAGAACCTTGTTCGAATTTGTTTGCAAGGGTTTTGATCAACTGGACTATAAGGTATGTCGTTTTGTATTCCTGCGGGCGGTTCTAATGTGATCTTTAGCAGTCAAATCTAATTCTTATTAATTAAAAATCCACTTTCCTCTACAATATGCGCCTTCTTGTGAAATTTAACTCCCAAATAATCCACAACCATTAGCAAATAACAATATCTTAGAACATACACTACTCTAAACATTTGTGACAAGATTTGCTAATTGAAAAGGGTAATGCAAGCATATGTGATCAATACTCGCCTTTCCTTCCAGCTAGGAGATATGGAAGGATAGAGTTGTTAGGAGCATTTGACAGGTGTTAGTTTTCCTATGGATTATCAACTCTACATAAGTCTGCACTCTATGGGGCCTAGCTTTTTAACTCATCTTATATGTCTCAACCACAATGTCAGTTCAAGGTTCTAACGAGGAATGAATTTTCTGAAAAGTTGATTGATAAGAAAATTGTAGATTCTCTATCTTCACCAGTTTAGTTATGATTCAAATGTTGATGAATTTAACTTTTTTTCCTGCTAAGTTAATAGCTTTTACGGTGAAATTGTTTAATTATCAAGCATTTTGGTGTTTGAATGTTTTATTCTGTGAACTACATTTTATCTTTCATTAATTGTTATATGGTCATTCCTTTTCTTCATTTTTCAATCATTTATTTCGAACGCACTAGTTATTGAGCTTGCTATTGTAACCTATGTTTACAGGAACATATAGATTATGATGTACAGAAAAGTAGTGACCCTTCGTTGAAGAAAGCAACCGTACAGATCAATATATACAAGCAGCACAGACAAACAATTCAGGTAAAATTATATGGACATTTGGTTACATGTGTAGTATGCTGTGTGAACAGGTGTTAGAATAATGCTGTAATCTGGGTAGTAACTATGTTAATACAATTTCATGTAATGACTCACATGCAGATGTTAGTACTCCATATTGATGAACTCTTAATGTGTGCCCAGTATTGATATAAAACTAGGAGTATTCGCTTCCTTATTATCAGGATGTAATCTACTTACTATTTTGAAGTACAGATGGGCCAGTGGAAAGTGTATCTATAACGTATTCTTAGTACTAAAGCAAATTAAGATGACTGAGAAATTTCTGTGGTCCTATCTTTCCTTTTGGATTCCATACCCTGAAAGTGCTACTATGTCTACTCTCTATATATATGCCCAGTTCTATCCTAGTTGATTCTGAAGCAAATCACCTTCTATGTTAATTTTCAACCTTTCAAAATTTTAGGGTTTATGTACATCCCAACTTAGCTCATTGCAGAGCAATAGAAGAATCTTTGAGAACTATTGTGGGGATTTACAAAAGAATTCTTGGGAAAGAGTTGGGCATTCTTATGGCTTCTCTCTCTCTCTCTCTCTCTCTCTCTCTCTCTCTTCTTTCTCCAACCAATTCGGATATTTCATTTTCAGTAATTTTGTTAGATTGGGGAGTTGCAGTGAGATAGTTATAGATCTGTTTTATAATGATGGAGGTGAATGTTGAGGCATTTGTTAGGGCTGTTTCGTTTTGATGGTGGACTTCTGGTTCACTGAGTGTTGTACATTTTTTTAGCTGTTTAATAAAATCTGTTTTTCTATAAAAAAAAAATAGCAGTACGAATTTTGATTAGTCAGTTGATGTAAAAACACAAGTACATGGAGTAATTATTATTCATGAAAAGGTGATAACCAAGTTGTAATAGAGAATATTTTTCTATTGGATAGCCGCATCACTGTTGCCATGAGTTTGTTCACCTTTTGCCCATCAAATGTCATGGGTTGTGTATGCCCTCATATATGATTAGTGGTTATCTTTGCTGGACTTTTCTAAAATTTTATTGTACTTGTGCCCAAGTGCATCATTTTTGTTATTGGTGTGAGCATATTGAACACAATTTAGATGGTTTGTAATTACTGAAGCTTGATTCCAAAACCGTGTTCCTGAAACACCAACATTTTTGGTCAACCTAAGGTATTTTGCTGGCAATCATCCAGCATCTATGGTATAGAGTCACTCAACATGCCTGTGAGAGTGTGACGTGCTCAAGACCTTTATACCTCATGTAGCCTAAAAGAAAGAACTTGGAACCACTCATTGCTTATGGGGGCTAGCTGTTTTTTACTTTTGGTACTTGTCCTTGCAGTATATACGGCCACATGAGCATGAAAAGCTTTCCCAAGTTGAACTGTTGGTTGTTGATGAAGCAGCTGCTATTCCACTACCAGTAGTGAAATCTTTGCTTGGTCCTTATCTGGTCTTCCTTTCATCTACTGTTAATGGGTAAGAGTCTTCCATGTTCTTCCTTCATGTTGTGTATTCTTATCATGTGTTCTTTATGTTGGATGTAACAGTCTTATGAAAGTTCTTTCACTTTTTGTGAACTGTTTCCACTTTTCCTTTACTCATGCTTGATGTTTTTCATTTTATAAGTTTAACTGTTTAACTCTGAATGCAATTTTTGGTCAAAAAAATCTATGTGCTATTTAAATACTAAAGGACATTCTTTTACACTGAAAGCTATGAAGGTACGGGTCGGTCTTTGTCCCTAAAGCTTATACAGCAATTGGAAGAGCAAAGCCAAACGTCTGCTAAAGGGCCTGTATCTGGTATGCTTATCCTTCATTGGCTGTGTTTTGTATTTTCATCTTGACAGCTTTTAAATGGGGTTGATCAAAATCTCTGATCCCCCCAAAATTTGAATTTATTTTCAAATTTTTATGTTTCAAATTTGTACAGAATCCCTTGTAACAGTGAGGGTTTGGCAAATTAGAATTAAATTAGCTAGAATTTGCGGGGTAAGAAACTAGGTTACTGGTGTTTTTTTTTTTTTCCTTTCTCTAGAATGAAACTTTACACATTTGCTAACATTATTGTTTCTTAAATATTCAAACAGTTGGCTCTTGCAAGTGAGTAATTAATATATTCATTTTAAAACTATTTTGTGATCTTTGGACAATTTTCTGAATTGATGGATGTCCCTTACTGTAGGTCGGCTTTTCAAAAAGATAGAACTGAAAGAATCTATCAGATATGCTTCTGGTGATCTGATTGAATCCTGGCTTCATGGTTTACTTTGCTTGGATATCACAAATTATATCCCTAAACTTAACGGGTAAGAACAACTATGCTTAGAAATTCAGAACTGAGGAAGGTGGTACCATCTCCATTATAACCATTGCCTTTATTAATGATCTCGCTTTCTCTCATCTCTCTCTTTGCTACTAGGTTACCTGCACCAAGTGAGTGCGATCTGTACTACATTAACCGTGATACACTGTTTTCATATCATAAAGATAGTGAGTTGTTCTTACAGGTAACTACATGTTCAAGTAACGTTGACTGCTGATTCTCATTTTCATGTTAATAAACTTACATATTCTAATATTTGCAGCGAATGATGGCTCTATATGTTGCTTCCCACTACAAAAATTCTCCAAATGATTTGCAACTAATGGCTGATGCCCCAGCTCACCACTTGTTTGTACTACTTGGTATATATGCTACCAGTTAGAACTGGTCTTTCTTCTTTTGTCGATATTGGCTGGACTTAATTATAATTTGCACGTGCAGGCCCTGTTGATGAGTCAAAAAATCAGCTTCCTGATATTTTGTGCGTCATTCAGGTTTGTCTGTCTTCCCCTAGTTCCGGACTATTATTTCTTTTAGTGTTTCAATTTGAATTCAGAATATGTCTACGCATACCCAAAATTTTATTGGGTTTTTTATTATTTATAATTATAATTTATGTGAAATAACATGAAAGGACAAACTTTTAACATGTACTTCATCTTCTATAAAACAAAAATTCTTTGATGCTCAACATTTTATGTGCTATAATTTTGCTCTTAGGTATGCCTTGAGGGAAAGATTTCTCGTGAATCTGCAATGAAAAGTTTAAGCGATGGTCATCAGCCCTCTGGTGACCAGATACCATGGAAATTCTGTGAGCAATTTCAGGACACCTGTTTTTCCCAGTCTCTCAGGTGCTCGGATTGTACGAATTGCTACACATCCCAGTGCCATGAAGGTATTCTCTCTTTATGGTTCCCAAATCCATATGTATCACCAGAATTTTGTTGAAATGGTATTTTATAACCAGGGATCTGTTGAAATGGTAATTTAATTTTCTTTGTTTGTTGTAGATTGGATATGGATCACAAGCAGTGGAACTATTGACAAGGTATGCTCCTCTTTCAGTTATTGCTGCCTAAAGATTTTTGTAGATCACACACATGATCCGGATGTGTGTGTAGATGACTAAGGTGTTGAGAAAAATTGACTGAGTGATTCTTTTAGCCCAATATGTCTACACTTTGAATGACAAGATTGAAGATTCTCGGCCTCAATCAATGCTTCAATTGCTTTCTAATGTGTATTGCGATTACAAAACCAACCATATATCTATATATTTTAAAATAATACTTGGGTACGTAAGGTCACAACTAGAAATGTGAGTTTCATGCTTTCAGTTCACTTGGTTTGAAAGCTATAGAACACACCATGTTGGTGCAGGAGAATGATCACTTGAATTTGGAACATGGGTCATGCTTCTAGTTTCACCATTTGTGTATCTATGATTTCAACTTTGATATGCAGATGGCTTTCTCACAAAAGATCTCTCAAGTCATATGATGGTAGTTGGAGAAATAAGTGGAAAAATATAGAGGATTGGAAGTGATACCATATTAAAACAAGGTTATGTTGGATACGGAAAGGTTTAGAGTAGCAGAGTTGGTGAGGGGTTATGTTGGGGAACTTAAGTCTTTTTCATCCAAGTTTGGGTTATATTTCTAAGAGTTGGGAAAAATTCGCTAAAGCAAGGCTAATTTCCGAATTTCTCAAAGGAAAGGAAAAGTTGTCCATCGAAAAGATAAGGAGTCCAACTAGAACTTACTTCAGAACAGTTACAGTGAACATTATAACCCCGCCTGTCTGGAGAAACCAAACCGCGGGCATGTTCCGAATTGCTTTGACAATGGATCCATGAACACATCTAGTGTTAGGATTTTGGCTCGTCAAATATGTCCTAATTGGTTTAGGATTGTTTTAGGAAAATTAGAGGTATGCCGATTCTTGTCCTAGAAGGATTAGGGAAGAATTTCAGTTTTCCTTATTCAATTTGGGTTTGGATTTCTAGAAGTCTATTTGGATTTGGATAAGTGTAATTTCCTAGTCCACTTAGAAATAGGAATTCAATCAGCCTTGGGACATGTAAGCCGACCCTATGCCTATAAATAGGGTGCGGCAAGGCTTAATTTTTAGAGAGAAAACAGCTAGAGACAGCCGAGAGTTTTGAGATTAGTTCTAGTGTTTGCAAAAGTTCTGTAATCTCTATTATTAATCAAAGGAGCGGTGATTTCTCTACCTAGAGAAATCACAATTGGACGTAGGCAAAAGTTCTACCGAACCAGTATAATTCTTGTGTGTTTCTACGTTTTTCTATATTTGCTAGTTTAGTCTATTGCCATTGGTTACATTAAAGAACAAGGTCTAGTGGGCGTATTTTTTCAACATCTAGGAAGTTGCTATCCTGAAGAAAATCCATCTCATCCCTATTATTCTTGAGAAACTCTATAGTTTATTTCTATCCAAACGATGGCCAAGATTTTGCAGTGCCAACAGTTGAGCTTACACTTGTATGTTTAAACAATGATTGGAAATTTTCTTGGTAATTGAAGTTTCCAGCGGAGAAAACACTACAAACAAACATAAGTAGCAGCATTTTTAGGATGATAATTTAAAGATAGACCTTCATTGTTGACTGCACAAATTATTCTACCTTTTTATATAGGTCATATATTAGGGAAAATGACAAGTCACCCATTTCAGTTACTGTAAAATAGTCTGTTATCTCTAAATGTACTTAGCTGTGCTAATGTTTGTGATTAGTTAGAACTGTTATAAGGTAGGTAGTTAAGGGGTATCTTTGTAAATAGCCAAAGGCTATATATATGTCTTCACAGTGTACAAACTAATTAATTCAGAAATACAATTGGAAAGCTTACAGAGGAAGTTTCCAGTTTCTATATCATACATTGATTCTGACCTTGTATACTTTTGGTCCTAGATTTTTTCTTGAACTTCTTTTTATCTCTCAACCCAAACATGTCTGTTATTCCTTGGGCCCATAAATCCATCTACTATTACTGCAAATGTTGTTGGGGACACAGATATAAGGAGTGGCTGATGTGGACATTCTAGTGATACCTCTGGTATGTATCATGTGCTATGTGGGTGACGTTGGATTGCTCTTGTTGGGGATCTAGACATAAGGAATGTGTGTAATATGTGTAATGCATTGCTCTTGTATAATGGAACTCATAAGTACTTCATTATTGAGATAAAAAGTTTCTATACTAACATTTCACTGAATCTCTTTGGTTCTAAAAGTTGATGCTTCACATTTATGCTTTATATTTGAAAAAATGGGAGTTTTAAGGATTTATTTCTCCTCAGGTACTACGAAGGACAGTTTGCTCCTATTTCTGAACTGGACATTGAAGATGTTGTTGAGACTCCACCACTCAAAGTCACAGAAGCTGCCGAGAAGGTCAACTACAATCACTCAGCATAGTTTCTTTGGTGCTTCGTTTTATTTTTTATTTTAAATATTTATAATTAACAGGTTGGAGAACTGCTTATATGAGACTGTTCTACATATTATTGAAAACTATTGTTGGAGGACAGTTTTGTAAGTCAGAGGTCTGTGGTAAATGCAATGCTTGTTCTCTCGAAGTGTTTGAGTTGGTTAAACTTCGTCCTGTTTGAGTTGGTAAAAAATTTCTGTGTTTGAATATAATTTGAACTAACTTTTGTGAATGATCATTTATCGTGTTAATTTTAATCATAGTGATATCAAAGTATATCATGTATTGGTTTGTTTGTTTGGGATTAATCAACATGCCTCCTGTGCCTTGATATTGTTTATCTGAATGTTACCTATGTCTATTTTACTTGTAGGTTTCATTACTGGAAGAAAGTATAAAACCTAGAACAGATCTTCCTCATTTGCTCGTTCATCTTCGTGAAAGGCGACCAGAGAAACTCCATTATATTGGTGTCTCCTTTGGGCTTACATTGGACCTTTTCCGGTTTTGGTGGAAACATAAGTTTGTTCCATTCTATATTGGACATATTCCAGTTAAGATGGATTCCCCTCCTGACACTGAATCATTTATGCGTTAACTGTTTTTTGAATATTATCATTTGTGAATGAATGATTGATTAAACAATAATTTTGCATTTCTTTTCAATGTAATAGAGTGCTGTGACTGGGGAGCATACATGTATGGTCCTCAAATCTTTGAAGAATGATGAACTTGAAACCAGTGATTTTCGTCCATTCTACCTAGGTGGGCCCATTTTTATTTGGAGAACCTCTGTTCTATTTAGATTTTTGCAGATTTTGTGTACTTCAGTCCACAGCTTGATTATTTGTTGGCTACCCCAGATTTCAGGAGAAGATTTTTGAGACTATTGGGTTATAGTTTTCGTACAATGGATTATAGGCTTGCTATGAGGTACTATTAAAAGTTTCCTTCTGATAAGTGCTTATTGTTCAAGTGCTTATACTAACTTGTAATTATCCAGCATCTTAGATCCTAAGATCAATTACAAGGATCTAGAGCCCAAATCGTCTACCGTAGATGGATTCTTACAGTCAATCACAGACTTACTTTCGCCTTATGATATGAAGCGACTACAGGCCTACACCAGCAGTCTTGCTGACTTTCATATGGTAAGTTCTCTGAACAATGGTTGATTGCCGACGTGCCCATCATAGTGCTACGTACTGTTTTGGGATTTTTGTCTTAGGATTACCAATTGATTCCATGCATTCATGGTAGAAAAAAAAAGTAATGTTTGCATTACAAAACAAAATATACCTTCCCTTTAGAAAAAATTAAATATTTGCGTTACAAAAATATGCTTTCCTTTATTAAAAAAGAATAAAAGAAAATTTGTATTCGCAAGTGGCCCTTTACAACAATGGTGGAAAGAAGTTGAGCCTTTGCATGATGGCGTGGGTTCGAACCTTGTCGGTGGCTAATCTAACATCTAATCTAACAAAATCTATCGTTTGACAAAAAAAAAAAAAGGAAAAAAGGAAAAATTGTGTTCCATTGCGATAGAATTATCATCTCAATGTGACAACATGATTATGTGATTATGATAATTGACAGTGCTGGAATATTTGTTTTCTTACTATGGACAGTCTGATAACATGATTGTGATACAAATTACTCTTGCAATTTTGTATGGATAATCTTTTTCAAAGTGAACTATTAGGACATTTTGTGTTCAGTTATTTATCTATCTACGTGTATATATCTGTGCAGTTGGGAAGTCCAAAAAATAAAACATTGAAAGTACAAAATTGCTATTTTGAGAGGGGGATTTGTTTACTTTACAAGTAATTTATGTTTAGGATTCTATGGTCGATGTTTCATCCCGTGCTGTGTTACATAAAGTTCAAAATTGCTTGTTAGAGAGGAGGATTTGTTTAAAGTAATTTGTGTTTATAATTCTGTGGCCAATGTTTCAACCCTGTTCTCTGTGTTACATAAGAAGATGAGAGAGTTGCTTGAAAAGATGAAATCAATAATGGTTAGGCTTTTAGACCCCTCCTTTTCCCCTCCCACGCTAAACCCCTCGTGGGTATTCCCCTGAGGGAAGTGAACCCATTTGTTTGGAGGCTCTCAGGAAGGTGCAGTGCAGCCATGATCGATGGCCGTGTTGGTCTATTTGTGTTGATTATGGTTTTGAGTGGATTATTTGCTTCCTTCTCTTTTTCGGAAAAACAGCCAGTTTGAATGTGCCAACATGTCTTCCTCCGGTTAGGCATAGATTATTGCATTTTCATCCTTAACTATCCACCATGCTAAATCACCCGAGAATTGTTATTTAAAATTACAGTTTAAACCCTGGGGTCCATTTGGAAATGAAGTGTTATTTTATAAACGGAGATCCTCTTGTATTCTAGTTATTGTTTGTTTATACATATGTCAAACTTATGTTTTTGTTTTACAGATTTTGGATCTTGTTCCAACGCTTTCACATCTGTATTTCCAAGAGAAGCTTCCAGTGACATTGACTGGTGCCCAGGCTTCCATATTGCTCTGCATTGGCTTACAAAATCAAGATATCTCCTATATTGAGGTTTGTTTCTCTACTTGTTGCTCTTGTGGTTTGCTTGGCTATACCAGTCACATAGATGTGAGCGTGCACTAAAACTCACTTGCAAAGACAAAACACTGTTCTTGGTGGCTTCATTTGTACCCTTTATTTCATTCTTTATCAGGTGTAAATTTTTACTTACATTCATGTTTTCCAGGGGTTGATGAAATTGGAAAGGCAGCAAATATTGTCTCTCTTTATAAAAGTTATGAAAAAGTTTCACAAATATCTATATGCTATTGCATCTGAGGGCCTTGAGTCAACCTTTCCTAAACCAAAAGAAGTAAGTTAAGCAAAGCAGTAACTTTTTTTGTTCTTATGGAAAATACATGACAAGTTGGTGGTTTCTATTTCCTTTCACGTCGTAGAATGTTTTATGATTCTCAGTAGGCTTAACAATATGATACTGACGTGTTTTGCTCATGAGCCACTTTGGTGAAAGCAATTCTCTCCGCACCTGAACTATTTTGTTTGATATGTTATCGTTAAGTTTACACTTTTGCATTTCTTTTGCATACAATCTCCACCAGAAACAATTTTTTTACGTATAGAGAGAAATTTCACAATTCCAACACGTCTATTAAGTTGTACGGAATTTCAATATGCACTACAACATCTTTCCATTATGAATGTATAGATCTTCGCATGAGAAGTTCTTTTTAAAAATATATTGCAAGATGATAAAAATTATATATATATGTATGTATGTATGTATGTATGTATGTATATTTTGTGCATAACTAGGCTTTAGTTAGTCTCGACCTCAACTCCTGCACACATGTGAGGCTTTGCAACTGACTTGATAGCGCTTGGTTGACCTCATCATCCTTGAGAACAAGAAATTAATAAGAAGTAGGCAACTTTGTTTTTTATGCAATGTGGGACTACTACACGGATATTGCCTGTTGATATGGATGATTTGCTTGTGAGCCTAAAGAGCTGACCATGACAATCTTGGATTGGATGCTTGGCTCGTTTAGCTTATTTGGGTACCTTGAACGAGCTTGTGCTGAGCTTCATTAAGCAGCATGCAAGCAGTAGTTTGGTTCATTACCTATTTATAACCATCTTTTATTGCCAGCAAGTGTAAGATTACTATTACGTCCCAATGAGAATGAGAATGGAAACATAAACTCAATTGTAGTTTCTAGCAGCAATACGCTTATTTATTTGATCAGTCGAGCAAAGCTTTGCAACAGAAGTTGTTTAAGCTTAACATCGCCTATTACATTATAAAATTTGTGTGCATGTATGTATGCTATTGTGCTTTTCTTCTGCCTAAGTTGTAACTCCACTCTGATTTGGAAATTTTGGTTCAGACTCTCTTGGAACCTCACAAAATCTCTGTTGATGATGATCTCAATGATGCTGCAAGAAAAGTTGAGGTATGCTTTATTCCTTCCTTACCTTCCCTGTTATCCGACCTACCTTTCTCTTTCCTGTGTTCTGAATTCCAAGAGTTGGGCTGACTTGACTACGCACATACAGGACGGGGTGAGATCCAACAGAGATGAATCATTAGATCCCAAGTTGCTTCAGCAGTATGCCATTGGGGACAGAGATGCAGACTTTGAGAATGCATTACAGAATGGCGATGTAAACTTACCGGCTGGTGGTCTCGTTAGTGTGAAATCAAGTAGAAACAGAACGGATAAAGGTAAAGAGAGAGAGAGTCATAAGAGCGGGGAAAAGCGACGTAAAAATGAGCATGGCTCCAGCTCAAAGTCCAACAAAAAGAAGAAACATTGACATTAGTGACGGTCATGTATGCAACTATTGTAACATTCAGTAAGAAGTCACTTTAAGGTACCAGAGGCAATAGTGATAGTCATGTATGCAACTGTTATAACATTCATTGCGTCAATGACGATGTATTTTTGACACAAACAGAACAGGTATGCATCAGGAGATGACAATTTTGGTTCTTTAATTCGACTGTGACCTCAACTTCGTCTTTCATTTGTTTCCAAAGTGAGCCGAAATAAAAATCTGAACTAACATGATCGAGCCATTCAGTAACCAAAATCGAAAATTTTCCAAACATTCGGTACGAGTATCGGTATCAAATATTTGTTAGTTGGGTAGTCGCTTAGTAAAATATTAGTTCAGTACAAATCAAATCTTTGGTACATTAATAATACTTACAGGATTAAGTCAGTCCCGGTGAATTTGATTTCGTATTTGCACATCTTTACTACAATTGACTCGTGCGCTTGTGAGGTAAACAGGAGTGCAAAATTGAAAGGAGGCATGCCGAAATAATTTCTTCATTTGATATGCCATTGTTAATTTGACATCAAGCAGTAACCGAATGTCCAATTCAAGCTCCAACCGTGCCAAACTAAACAAGCCTAGAATAAATTTCATCACATATGAAATGAATGTCCCGAAGGCGATTAATAACGCCGAATATCATTAACTTTCCAATTCATGAGTTTCAATCTGATACAACTAATACGTGGTTGTGTATATCACAAAAGAAACTGACATCGTGAAGTTATTTTTCCTAAGCTTAAACCGCGCAATTACACCAATCGGACGAACAAAGTCTCATAGCTTTGGTACAAACCAGTTACATACAAAACATAAAAAAGCAGAGGAACATCCAACAACGACTGATCTTCCAGTGCCTTTCTTCATAAAATCCATATCCCCTCAGATGCGGCTGAATCGATTCGGTTCAACCTGAGAAGCTGGACCAATAAAAGAAGAGGGAAGAAAAGGGAAAGGTTAGAAAATGGGGAGGGGAAGCAGAGAAAGAACAGCTTGCTATAAGAGTTTTCTCAACTCGTGAATATTATAGAGCTCACCCGCTACTTCTTAACTTTCAAAGTAGTTTCTATTCGTTCGACAAGCTGATCAGCAGTCAAAGCACCCTCCTGCAAGTAATGAAAGCAAAATCATCAAAGATGTTTAAAATCGAACTGATGATGGTGAATCGGTTATGATTTAATCTAGCAGTGGCTTGAACACATGCACAGAGAACATATAATATTTATCTTATTTAATATTTTGGATCAAAGAGGACATACATCCTTCAAATTCAACATTTCGGAATCAAAACCAAACAAAAGAAGAAGAAAAGCATGCGAAGCAACACACCAGACGAAATTGGAAACCGATGCATGTGCATAGGATATCTTACAAAAGCTTAAAAGTGGAATTAACAGCAAAGCATAACAACATTAACAATACCCCTCCATATTATGGCTGTATGAAAAGCTTGCAGTCAATATGTTATCAGACAGATCACACATTGCTAGGTATTTGATCGATGCATGTGCATAGGATATCTTACAAAAGCTTAAAAGTGGAATTAACAGCAAAGCATAACAACATTAACAATACCCCTCCATATTATGGCTGTACGAAAAGCTTGCAGTCAATATGTTATCAGACAGATCACACATTGCTAGGTATTTGATCGTCTACCAGAGACACATAATAATTATCTCCCAAAGGAAAAAAGAGAACAAATTCAACTTACAAAGCGGTCAAATGGCTCTCCATCCTTAAATATGATGAAAGTAGGCAATGCTTGTATGTTATATTTATCAGCAATGCTAGGATACTTCTCTGTGTCAATTTTCACAACCTGGATCTTGTCGTTCAGCGTAATACTGACTTCATTGAGGACAGGTGCCATAAACTGACAAGGACCGCACCTGTCAACCACATGTTATTACTTAATTGTCCGTGCTACCTTATATACTTCCTTTCAAGGCAAGACAGAGAGAGATGGAAAACCTAAAAGATGAATAGCTATTACGTTGTTTAGGAACTAAAAGTTTAACTGACAATACAATAATAATTACAATGATGCAAACTGTTATAGTAGTTTAAAAGTAACGGATCCTACGTAGAATCATAGATGAATGGTAATACAGCCTCATAGGATTATAGGACCATTTATTCGTAAGCCCTTGCAGATAGGTTAATTAAAGGGCTATTCTCTTACGCACATGAGAGACGCACCTTTATGAACATTCACTTTTGATATTAGAGAATTTCTGTATAAACAAAATAAGAAGTGAGATATACAAGCAAAGCTTACCAGGTTGCATAGAAGTCAACCAACACAGGTTTTTCGGAGGTAGCCAGCAAATCTTCGAAGGAGGAAAATGTTTGCTTCTTTGCTTTAACCTACGAAAATTAATTTTTTTTTCAAATATACATGTAAGTACCGTATCACCAATTCGGTCAAACTTCGTAATTCAGCTATATAGGCCAAATATTCCAAAGACAGCAAGGAAAGAGTACACACAGCTATTCGAAACTGTCACAACATTGTCCAGATGGATAACTACATAAGTGATAAGTCATATCATCCTCAATGGAAAGCGGCACCTGTAACTTGGGGCACAGCGAGTAGTGATAGGAGGACCGTTGATTGACTGGTACAAATAATTGACTTCTGATTAGATGATTAAAGAACAAGTGAGTCCATGCATGAAGGTCCCGAATATGGGCTCCTCACTGTCACTAGCATTCACATCCTTAGTAGATAGTATCCCAGTGTTATAATCTATACCTTCCATCCCATTCAATAGTTTTGTTTCTAGGTTTGTCCCTTCCCAACTTTATGCCCAAACGGTAGGGTAGATCAGATTCTCGCAACCTAATACCGTATATGGGTGACAATGTGAATTCTAATTATTTGGGAGAGGTTCAATACCAAACCAGTTTACCGATAACTACACGTGAGTGCGCCAACATCGGTATCTCACTAACAGTTTACTTTGCCTGCACTTTCCTACGAATTATCTTTCTTCTCCCGAAAAGACTTTAATTTCGAAAACCCGAAAAACCAACCCATGTGGTTTTCTCACAACTTACAGGAAACGGAAAGGGAAAAGAAATACAAAGCAATTGGCTTTCTTGTCATAAATATGATAACGATAAGATTTCCGGTTGTATGCTTTGCTCCCTAAATTCAAATTTTACAAAACACAGAAATTTCAGATAAGGAATTTAACTTGCGAGCTTCACAATTTTCAAACATTTTCCTTGATTTTCTCGGGAAACAAACAAACCGCGAAACTACAAAATCGGAAAATTGATTACCGGAGGAAGAATCCGAGACCTTGAGTCCCGTGTTCCGATCCGAACGTGTCGAAGGTGTGATGGAAATCGCAGAGAAGTCGAGGAGGACAGCTTTGAACAAGAAGAAGAGGATGATGCCGCCGCCGCATCTATGCGAGCCATACGGTCAGAGCTGAGACAAGGAACCGCGGACGCCGTCACGGAAATCGCCATTGGATTGGACGCTCCGGTCAGTGAGATTTCGTCCGACGGATTCTTCTTCTTAGCTCCTGTTTGGATAATCGGAAAAGAAAATGAATACGAACAAATACTTCCAGGCTCCAGCGAAGAGCACTTGCGGTTCCGGCCCGCCGAGAGGAGATAAGATTGTGGTGTTGCTTCGGGTGTATGATGCTATGGTGGTGTTTAATTATTTACCGTTTGATTGTTGGAACAACAAAAGTATGTTGATCGGACGGATGATAAGTTTGAGAGGTGGTTAAGTCTTGTGAATCCGAATCGAAGACGATTCGGCGATCGTCTGTTTGCCTTGTTCCTGAGTTCCTGGAGGACGTTCCTGTGACGTCACGTGCTACTGCAAACTGCACACTTCTTCACCAAATCAAAATGAGGCTTACCACTCGCTTACCATCAATTTCTATGTTCGTATTGTAAAATATTATATTAAAAATATAAGGTGACAAAATTCACATAGGCTCGTATTTATTTTGATTATTTTTGCAACCTCATTTTTTGTTGGATTAATGATTAGAATTTAGATGGATTATTTGCCCAGATTATTTTTAATCTTTTTACACAATTGTTAACTGCGAATTAGACTAAACCGCACAATGTACCTAACATAATTAAATATTAAATTTATCATTCATTGGACTCGAACCTAAAACCTATAATAATAGGGATATATGCAAGTACCTTTAGAGGTTGGAATGAGCGAACCTACGCACAATAGCTCCTTAACCACATTAGTTAGCCACGACGAGATTCCAAAGTCATTGTAAATATATATACACAGATATCCTTCTCACCTGCATTTGAGTCGAATCTGGTATCTCATCAATGCAACCCATGCATAATAGCTACTCGAGACTAGGTCTGTCAATTTCTTGTACGACTTGTTAAACAAATATGAAACGACAAGATAATAATAAGTTTCGAGTCAACCCGCTAACGAGTCAGGTCACTACGGGATCACTTCTTAAGAACTCAATAAGATATCGTTTGTCAAATCTACACATTAGGCATAACAATTTCTTGTATGACTTGTAAATCTAAAACAAAATGACACGACCCGTAAATGAATCAAGTTCAGATTACCTATTAAAAACCCGTTAAGAGAGCAGGCTTCACACAACACTACCTGTTAAAATAACGAATATGACACAAAAACAATACGAATACGAGAAATACAACCCATTTGCCAGGCCTACCTGAGACGTGGGTTTAAACAAAATATCAATGTTATCAATTAAGTAGAAAATGTAATCATTCACTAGCTTCATGTATTACATTTCAAAAGATTCTTTCCATATATCATGTGACAAAAATCTCAACCAGGTACAACACACAATTCTTCACAAAGTTCTACAAACACAAGCAACGACGATGTATGTCTAACCGTCTAAACCGTGGAAAGAAATCATGCCCGGAAATTATCCACCGCTTGTCAACGTCAAGGCAAGAAGAACAATGGTGATGGCAGTTACTATGATGGCACAAGCAAATAACCACATACCCGTGCTCGGCCCTTTGTTATTCTGGCTCTCTTGACTTCCCAACTCAACTTCTCTAAGAAGTTCTCTCACTTCATCTACATCGTAGTCCTTGGCAGCTTGGGTGAGTCGACTTTGAATCTTCTCAAGCATTGCAATCCTCCTTTCTCTGGATGCATCCTTGGCTGGCCACCAAAAACTTGTCATCTTCCAAAGAAGGATTCCCACATAAATGGCCACGACACAGTCTACGCTATAATGGTGACGTTCCCGTATTTCTCTCTGTGCAGAATGCCCGACAAGTAACCATATGATAACTGAGCTATAACCACCATAAGCTTCCTGCAACAATCGATCGGATTCATAGAAATAAAAATCAGCAGCACAAGTAGGTTGCTTCTTGGACAAGAAATGGCAATGGAGAGAAATTTCAAAACACATTAGGCAGTACCGTCCAGGCCATAGCTGTCAATACAGCAACTAGCATGTGTCCACTGTACACGAGGTCATTGCAGCCACCTCCAGCATTCTTCAGTAAATTATACCATGGCCCATCCATCGCGGTTGGTCGCAAGAATTCTATTAGGAAGCTCATTCGACCCCAATCTGGCCGGAAGTCCGCAAGTACTTTTCCAGTATCAGCTGAGGGAAACAAATAAAAAATGTTGTAACATACACAGCCACCTTATCCTCAAAGGGGGATGTATTTGCAGTAGAAAAGGTTGCAACATTAGAAATGTGGAAAACTGTAAAGGAAAATACTTTAGAACCCAACTCTTTTACCTATATTTTTCTCCGTCCTTCAAATGAGGCCCATCTAGGACCCCATCCATGTGTGAGAATTGGGAAAAGAGTTTGGTTTGTTAGCATCTTTTTAATGTATAACTCATGCGGTGATCAATAGTAGGAATCATTCATACGTTCCCAGATCAGCCCAAATTTGGGTCAGAAGGTCAGATAAAAAGGGTACTTTTGGGGCCGAAGTTGCAATTGAGGCAATGAAACCCAGGGGTCAGTTTGAGAAGAAAATGAACCTATTATGTAGTACTTACCAAAGGCCATATCCTGTCGTAATAATTCACGAATAGCATTAGAATCCGAAGCATAAGGTACATAATACTTCTGAGCCCAGCGATGAGGATATGAAGGGACTGTGAAACGAGCAGTAGCACACCAAGGCCGGGCAGACGGCAGAACAGTTGATACAAAAGTTATGGCACGAAGAAGACGGCCAATACCCATGGTGAACATGTACCGTGCACCTAGTCCAAGGCCAGGAGCTTTCACAGAGTCAAACAGTACGGAAAAAGCCAACAGCATAAATAACATGAGGAAATGATGCAGTCCAATAATACGGGCTCTCAATATTTCAACTAAGGTATGAGGAAGTTTCTCATTCAGTGCCAAAAGCAACCACTGGCCAGTGTCTGGAAGAGGAGATGTACGACTGTCAAGTACCAAAAATGAAGAAGACAATCAGTTTTACTCTCATTAAATACTTAACTAAAAACTATGGCTAACAGTGCATGAGAAATGAAAAAAATATCCTCCCTATGGCGATGCTATGAAATACAAGAAAACAGACTACATCAAATCATCTGATAGACCTTACATGTCATTGTATTAAATCATTCAATTATAAAAACAATGCCGAGGGCCTTTATTAAATAGAAATTAAATGAAAAATGTTGCTTACGTGTGGAAATTAGACAAGAAAATTTACAAGATGATGTTTTTCCGCGTATTTTCTTTTCAGATTCCTTTTGTTTGGTTGATATTACATTACATTGTAACTCCTAGCAGCATAAGCTTTTGAGATCTCATGGTCGCCTAACATGGTATTAGATCCTTGGTTGCAGGAGGTCCTTAGTTTGAATACTCCAATTTCTCATTCCTTGTTTGCTGGTTCATTCCCTAACAGTTAAAGCTTTTGAAACACACATTTTTACATCCAAGCAAAGAGCTAGTAGAAGTGGAGCATAGATGCACAAATTGTTTTGTATGTCAGCACCTTAAATGCAAGTCAGATTGAGGTCTTGGATGTGCTAGCGTTCTCGAACAATATGGAGGAGTTTGACATAAATTATGGTTGAATACCAAGCAACTCTGTTATTTCATCATTAAGTCGCTTTATTGATAAGTTAGAACCCTATCAATCCTTCCAGAAAGAGTGGTGGTCCCAGTGGATATTTGAAATAAGGCAAAGTTGCATACCTAGTTAAGAACTTGATTGGTAAATGGTAATTGAAGGAAATATGACCTTTTCTTGTTAGCTGAAAGCTTAAAGAAAGCTTTTAACGATCATTTATAGGAAGGACTAAAGGATTGGAGCAACTGACAATTTACACTTAATTTATACTTGTTGGTCCAAAGATAAAATTAAATAGGTATAAGAGCGAAGCTTAAGGAGCAGCTTATCGAGATGTTCTAATGGTGTTGTGAGCAGCAACAAAATTAATAGATACCACAGGCAGCATTTGCACAGTAACAAGAACCCAAGTTGAAATTCTGCAGCAACAAGAACCCCTATAACAAGCCGGAAAAGAAACAAAGAGAAAGAAGCCACAAATAAGTTATACCAGGGAGATTTGTATCGAACAAATCTTTTGTGCAAGATTTTAAAGGATGAAATGAAGGAGGTGCCTAGCTGTGCATAAGTTAAAAAAAATTCCAAGAAGAAATTGATATATGGAAACAGTTGATTGGAATGGAAGCACACACCATATACATGTTGCTGTGGTACACCCATCCCATCTATTTATTTCCCATATAGGAAGGTGTGGCCATAGTAACCCTAAGCCTCCTTCAATGTAACAGTTGGTTTTATTCCTCTAAACATTTTCTCACTGTATGGCCACCAATCAACTGGCCCATCGAACTTTAGCCTGACTGAAAAGCCATCAACCAGCATCAAACAGTAGGCCTTTTCTTTTTCCCAACTTTCCTAAATTTCTTACTGACTTATCAGAGTCAGCATTGACCTACATCCCACTCTCCTATTGATGCTTTCCTGACTGAATGTTGATGACAAAGCTCGGGCCAGGAATATTTCACTTCTTCAACTCAAAAATACTATAGGGATCAAAGAAGTTTCAATTGTTTAGGCAATTTGTATCTACCATAGGTAAGAAAACAGAATTGCTATGTTTATATCTCCTATCTATTTAGTTCTTGTTCATATTTCTGCTATATTTGCAAAATATATGATAAAAATATGGATTTGTGCCACTATTTGCATTTAAAACTGGTGGAATATAATTCATTTTCAGTTTTTATTCTAATTGCTGACTAATTCTGATGGAATGTATCTACAATCCCAGATCTCCCATTGACTCAATTGCCATAAGCCCAAAGGGTGGTCTTTGGAAGACCCCACCTCAGTATCTCCTAATGTTCAATACGTTCTCCGACAGGTTGTGTCATCAACAAGTGTTGCGGAGATTTTTATAGCCTGTAAAGGGCAGCCACAACCATGGTCTACAAAAGAATGCAACCACTTGACATATGTTATACAACAAAACCAATCTTGATAAGATAATATGCTATTTATTCATTCAAAAATCTATGACGATAACAGTCAAAGACAATCCGGTATAAAGGTTTAGAAGAATCAATATGATAATTTCTTAGCTGAAAGATATGAAAAGACATTTCACAATAACATACAAAGGCGGAACCTTTAAGAGAATTCAGTTTGCGTTATACGTGGGATGGCCTGCCTAAATCTTTGTTTGGGCATATACATATTATGCTAAGTATTAGTACAACATTGCCCGCCTCAAGGATGCACAGGGCTACATGGCAAAGGGCTGAAACCCTAACTATATGCAAATTGTAGTAAACAAAAAAACTTTGAAACAATCGGT